TTATTTCTAAAAATAACTTTATCAAAACAAAAATTCGTAAAACCTCTCTATTCAGAAACATTTCCTATCGTTTCTAAGTAAAAACCATTCTTTATAATAATAACAGTATTTACCAAGATTAGTTAGAAAAGCTAAAATAAACTTCATAATGTATTATTTGCTTTTTTTTACAAAACAATAAATCACCCAGTGTAATAAATCATATAATATTAAATTTCTTATCTTGATAAAGATTGCTAGTTGTAAATAAAATCAAAAAAAGAACCAGGATAATAGCTGAAAATAATATATTGTTTAACTTTTCGGTATCTTATTTTGGTTTTAACCGCAACGTATCAGAAGTAAAAACAATATTTTAAAACCACTATAAAAAGTTTTGTTATTAAAAATTATTGTATCTTAATGTGTCAGAAACATCTGGGAACTATTCATGATGACACAGCAAGTTTCTTTAATGACTGTTACTTTAGTTTAAACAACTGAGTTCTTTTTTAAACAATGTTAATTTGAACTATCATTTATCGATTACGTAACCATTTACGATTCCATAACACATGTATCATGGAACTCATTATAATGTTCTCTTTTAAATTAGACTTTATTACCAATGCACGCAAAACTAGATAATAATGCTTAACGATACAATAATTATATACTTACGTCTCTTTAGAAACAAAATTTTCTTTTTGTTTCAAATTTTAAACTGAAATACGGAAATTAAATCTATACATAAATTACTTTTTGACCTCAAGAGTTCGTGAAACGGCTAAAACCTTGATTGCGTGTAAAAAAAAAAGTTTCCCACTTTCACAAAATTGGTCGTTCGCGTTGAGGTCGTTTCTTTTCGTATTGACCGTTTCCTTCGCGATTACATCTATCTAATTTCTTAGAAATATTGATTAATAATTCGTAGGTCCACTTAAAAAACAAAATCGATGAATATTATCACTTAGCGACGCCACACTTCAAATATTGATATTATTTATTGATTGTAATCTAAATTGATCACTTATCTAACCGCTTAATATATTCCCTGTCATTTTGTAAAAATAATCCTTCTGAGTAGTACGCAAATAAAAGTACAACTTTAGTTTATGCGAAAAACAACAGGTGAAATTGATATACTATGTGATTATTTGTAATAATTTATATCGAAGTGGAATGTTACTAAGAAACCGGTTGATGTACACATTTATTTGGTTTTACTCTATCAATACTGTTACTACTTTTTACAATTTTAACTCATATTACCAGACTTTTTGTGTGTCTTATAATACCAATGGGTGACCTCATATTTTTGTGTGGATGAGATGATAACCCTCTCGTCATCGCGATCTATAAAATCTATTGTAACTTAAGCCCTCCTAAGGTTTAGGGCAAATTTAGGTCCTTGATGAACCTTGGTATTGCCACAGAATAACCAGAAATGACACTGAAATCGATTCATTTGGTGTTGGCGGCATCTCGTTTTATGACCTCAATTTAAAAATCCGCCATCTTATTGCGGGGAACCATAGGCACGATCTGGCAATGTCAATCCCTTTGCCACAGAATAACTGTAGCGTCTGAATGTTTCTAGTTCTAGGTCTAGTGTTAGTTTTAGTGCAATAAAAATATGCAACATAGTGATATCTTATGCTAACTAGCGCTACCTACCACTGTCACTAGAACTAACACTAAACCTAGAATTAGAAACATTCAGGTTTAGCCGCAAGTCTTTCAAACCGGCAAAACTCGAATGATTCTAGTTTTAGGTCTTGTGTTAGTTCTAGTGATAGTGCTAGTGTAAAGCTTCTCTCTGGATAAGCCATCACTATGCTTTTATACACGTGTGTTTGTCTCAGACATATATAGTAATCCCCGACCCCCTCCGTCCTCGTTTGTCCAACGTTTGTAAACGCTGGCATATTTATGTTTATGTGTATTCAGTAAATCCACTTATCAATTAGTTTTAGCACAATTTAACCCTTTCCAATCCATTTATAATTAAAAATATTATACACAAAAGCAAATCAAAACGCAGATACTGTTTACAAACACTCACTTGTTTATAAAGGACAATAGGACAGGTTTTAACACGTTATAGCCTATCTAGAAAGAAGCGAAGCGAGCGGTGGTGCTAGATCGTTGGGCCCGATGAATCCACAATGAATGAAAGAGACAACTTAAACAGAGACAACTATATTAACCACCAAGATCTATAGAACATAAGGTTACCTAATTCCCTATGCCTCTATAGTATCGATTATTACCCCGCAGAATGACGTCACTGGTTCGATACAGTCGGAGTAGAGTTGAGTAAAAGATAGCGTAACTGTGGTACAGTCTATATAAAATATTTAAACCTCGCATCGTGTTGTGTTGTTCATCGAACCAGCTACGTCACTGACCCACCTTGCCCCTCAGAGGAGGAGAATCGGCATTGGGTAACCTTATGTTCTATAGACCTTGATTAACCACCAATAGCAGCAATACTTTGCTTCCTCGCAACAATATGGCGTCAGATTTGGCGGGATATCACTTCTGGTTACTCTGTGGTATTGCCGCAGAATAACCAGAAATGACGCTGACGTCGATTCGTTTGATGTTGGCGGCACCTCGTGTTATGACCTCGATTTAAAATCCGCCATCTTATCACGAGTTACCAAAAGCACAGAATCGAGGTCCGTTGAGTAAACAACTCCCTATGAACGCTGTTGTTATGAACGTATCCGTCTTTAGAGACGTGCGATTCTAGTTCTAGGTATAGTGTTACTTTTAGTGATAGTACTAGTGTAAAACTAGAACTAACACTATACTTAGAACTAGAATCATTCGGGTTTAGCCGTCTTTAGACACGTGCGGCTAAACCCAAATGTTTCTAGTTCTAGGTCTAATGTTAGTTCTAGTGACAGTGCAGGCGTAAAACTAGAACTAACACTGTACTTAGAACTAGTGCTCGGAGTTTTACAAATGAAAATATTCGAATAGTCGTATAATTTTCAATTCGAATAGTCGAATATTTATTAATATTCGACTAGTGGAATAGTTGTCGACTAGTCGAATAGTCGTCAACTAGTCGAATTTTTCAAATATTCGGATAATTTGATTAACCTCTTATTAGTATACCTATTAGTATACGTTTTATACTACTAATTTTTCTGAATTTCAGGAGAAACAAATAAACAATTAACAATCTTTTTTTCCTCGTTAAGTTAAACATTAATTCAACATTAAAGAGAAAAAGGAAAATACCTATACCTATTAATATATTAAACGTGAATGACAACATTAACGTTATAAGTAAATATGTTCTGTATAAACAAAACAAGATGACATTAAAAAAAAGAATGGATCAAAAAATTGTATTAAATGAAGTAAATTATTATTTTTTTAACAAATGTTCAAATAGTCGACTATTATTAGAATAGTCGACTACTCAAATATTCGACTTTTCGGCTAATAAATTATGAAAATTATTCGAATTTCGAATATGCGATTATTCGACTATCCGAATTATTCGAATACGATTCCGAACCCAACTTAGAACTAGAATCATTCGGGTTTAGCCGTCTTTAGAGACGTGCGGCTAAACCCAAATGATTCTAGTTCTAGGGATAGTGTTAATTCTACATAGAACAGTGTTAGATTTAGTTTTAATTGTTATGCAGTGCTAGACATAGAACTAGAATCATTCGGTTTTAGCCGTCTTAAGAAACGTACGGCTAAACACAAATATTTTTAATTCTAGGTCTAATGTTAGTTCTAGTGGCAGTGCAAGTGTAAAACTAGAACTAACACTATACTTAGAACTAGAATCATTCGAGTTTAGCCGTCTTTAAAGACGTACGGCTAAACCCAAATGATTCTAGTTCTAGGTATAGTGTTAATTCTACATAGTAACTGTGCTAGTTTTATTTGTTATGCAGTGCTAGACCTAGAACTTGAATCATTCGGGTTTAGCTGTCTTAAGAGACGTACGGCTAAACCCAAATGTTTCTAGTCCTAGGTTTAGTGTTAATTTTAGTTTTAATTGTTATTAAGCGCTAGATTGTTGTATATTTTTATTGAAGTAGTTGACAAGGTAAATATACGTATTAGAAAAGTACGTATATTAGATTATATAGTAGAACTAGAATCATTTGGGTTTAGCTGTCTTAACAGACGTGAACTAGAAGTGACACTAGCGCTATCCCGCCAAATCTTTACCACCAATAGTAACATACCTTGGTAACTCGCTATAATATGGCGTCAGATTTCACGGGATACTGCCACAAAGTGTTGTTCCTTTATGTCAGTAGGTGTCAGGCGAACCTTTCCGAAAATTTTGTGTCTCTGGCAACGCATTCATACAAAATATGTTCAGCGATCTCTGACTCGTCGTTGCAAAGTCGATAAGTTTGATCCTCATCTTGTCCAATGTTGAAGAGGTGGTATTTTAGGAGCGTTTGGCTGGTCAGAAAAACTGATAGCGAACTTGGGTTCCCTTTGCTGAGGCATAAAACCTCGTTGGTTTTCTTTTGGAAGTTCTTTCCAGCACAAAGCTAACTTTGAGTCCTTCCATGTATTAATTACTTGTTTTAAGTGACTTTTTTGTAGTCCACACCCAGGTTGGGGTAATACAGGGTGGCCTTTTTATTGCCTTCAATGTCTTTGTGATCTGAAACCCACTTTAGAGTGATATGACATGATTGTATTTCGATTTCCCACAGCATTAGTTTGATTAAAATCTTTCTGGAAATTTGTACTTAAACGAGTCTTTATTTGTACAAAATACATAAAGCTAATTATTTCAATATTTACATTCTTGGTCATTATATTTAATCTCTCACTATTGTAATATGAGAAAAAATATGCACAAAAAAGATACAAACTTTAACATTGTAAATAAACACGATTACTTTAGCATATTTCAAATACCACAAAAATGCTATATTTTACAATAATATGGCTTTGTAAATTATTATAGATTTTATTGTTCGTTTACTATATAATTAATTTTTGCTTTTCCCTATTTTCAGTAAGAAAAGACCAAGATGAGGTATAACAATAGAAGTGACGTCGTCCATAAAGATGTCGTAATAATAGGTAAATATTTTCAATTTTTATCATACATTTCATTACCGTTTTTATCATTTGTAGGAAATGGACCAAGTGGTATATCTTTATCGTATATGTTAGACGGTAACATACCGTACGTAATATCAAATAATCATCCAGACGAAATGTTGTCAGCAAGATTAGGAACATGCATAGGAGAAACCTTGGTTAATCTAGATTTAGATTATTTATCCCACGGTTTAGAGGGACGCTCCACAAACCCCATATCATTACTTTTGGATTCTTTATCGCATCCATGTGCTGATATTGGTTTGGAAATAGAACCTTTAATTGAGTGGAGGCGAAACGGCGTGCAGGTAATTCAAAAGTAATTATACACAAAGAATTTGAGTTAATTACAAAAAACACCAATTAATTAACTGATTAATAAAAATTTTTTTGTCAAAAACACGTACCTACAAAACAATTTTAAATTTATTATTTTATTTTTAACAATTTTCTTTTTATAATATAGATTGACCATATAGTTTTTGGTAAAGGTCCACCAGGTGGGTCATGGCACTCAATGGATCCACACATTTTAACTCTCTCCCTAGGAACTTGGATGGCTCTCCCCGGATTAAAATATACGATGAGAGAAGGTGCCGAAAAACGAGCGTTTGCTTCTAATGTAGCAAAGTATTATGCCGAATACGTAAAAATAATGAATCTCGAAAAATATTTCGAAAATAACACGATAGTAGTAAACATCGAAGAAGTTCGTAAAGAAACTATTATTAATAACCCGGAAAACGTTGATCGCGATTCCGATAACGAATGGGTCAAAAAAATTCATAACGAAACGAGCGATCGCATCAAATTGTGTACACAACCGGAAGTCGAAGAAATGAAAGAAACGAAAAGTTCGTGTCCGTTTACGAACGCTTTAAATTTTTTATTGTCTCATGGACAACGAAAATTAATCGGCGAACGATGTTGCAAAAGGAAATTGGATAGTGATAAAACGAAAAATGTTTCGACGTCAGATCTGATGGTACACAACGAGAATCGTTGTAAGAAAATGAACTTAAACGATCGCGTTAGATCTGTTAGTTTTTCATGTGATTATGATAGATATAAAAATACTGATAATAGAAAAATCGATTTAAGTTTTAATGCTGGAACATCTACCGACGTTGATAAGCCAGTAATAGAACCGAGATGGATCGTAGATGTTTATGATATTAAAAGTAGATCGATAAAACGATATTCGTGTAATTATTTAGTTTTGGCTAATGGAGCTAGTGATTTACCAAATCGGTTGTCAATTTCTATGGATAAACGAGACCCAACATGGCTTTTACACGACGTAAGAAGTCTTGAGATCGAATTGGAACTTTATATGCAATATCATAAAGAAAATCCTGATCCTGTTTTAATTGTTGGGGCTGGTTTAAGTGCTGCTGATGCTATTATTGCGACAAGAGCCAAAAGTATACCGGTTATCCATCTTTTTAGAAATAAATCAAGAGATCTTAGTAAACAATTACCTGAAAATATGTATCCTGAATATCACAAGGTAAATAAATTTATTAATTAATTAATTACCTAATTATTTTTTTTTAGGTTCATCAAATGATGCAACAAGAAGGTTCTAATTATCCTTTATACTCAGCATTTCCCGAATATACATTAACAAATTACTCAGAAAATAATCGAACGGTAACGATCACATCAAAAGATGGTAAAGATATGGAGATTAATGTTTCTTTCGCGGTTGTATTAATCGGATCGAGACCCGATTTAAGTTTTCTACCACAAGATTTTAAATTGGGTGTTAACAATAAGTATTCGGTTGACTCAAAAACAAATCCAATAAACATAAATAAATTACGACACTCAGTTAATGGTTATACTAATCTGTACGCAATTGGTCCGATCGCTGGTGATCATTTCGTAAGGTTTTTACCTGGAGGAGCTCTAGCGATAGTTTCAGATTTCTACAAGCAGCATGGTTGTTGTTGATTTTTGAAGACAATGTAGATCGAGTTAAGATTTGTGATATTGTACCTGGGTATAATATATTAATTATAATGAAAGTTTTGTTACAATTCTTAAAAGAATTCGTTGAATTTGATAGAATGGTGGTTTATCTTAAAAAAAAAAAGTATTTTATGTGTTTTTATGTGACTACGTTTGTTGTATTTATATAAATTTTACGTAACGTTTCTTTTTTCGCTCACATTCCTAGAACCAGAATTTTTTTTTCTTCTACTAAATACGTGATAAAGAGAGAAAAAAATATTTATAATATTAAATTTTATGCAAGATGTTGCAATGATACAAAAAGTTTGTAATTTTTTTCTTACATACTTTTTATGTATGTATTAATTAATAATTATTTATCTACTTAAATAAAAAAACAGGTATTAAAAAGGAATAATTTAACTCATCCATTTTTTTATGCATTAAAATATATAAATATCCTTCTGATTGAGGTCTCAATAAATACTTTTTCACTCAAATTAAGCTAAATAAAACGAAAAAAAAAAGTGTTACAAAATAAAATGAAAAAACTGTTCTTAAAACGTTAACGTAATAAATAGATTTAATTTCTTTGTACTAAGTTAACATTTAAAAAAGTTTATTCTTTGAACTTTCTTTTCGAAGTTTGCTTTTACTGTCAGTTTTATCTTTTGATACTTTTGTTTTGCATCAACTTAATCACTCTTTCAACTAAATCATGTGCAAACTTTTATTCTGACTTCTTCAAACGAAGCATTATTTGTGCACAAAGTAGGATATTCGTTAAAAAACTCATTTAAGACCTTTAAATAACGATGCGTTTCGCCGAAATGAAATCGTAGATCATTTCATGTTGTTTTATCCTTGCTTGATGTATTTAGGGAAACGTCATTCATCAAATATAATGTCACAATGAGTCTTTCAAAAAGAGATACTTTTTCTTAATAAGTATCTCTTTTGTTTTGAAGTGATACCAAATGATAATTTTTTGCCTTTTAGTTATCCAGTGGCAGTATAAATGAGATAGTCGTTGATTTACTTGCTTTGAGATGTTGAGCACAATTCAAAGCTCATCTTCATCCACATTAATATCGTTTATTTTATCATCTTTTCCTGGGCATTTACTTTAGCCAACAGCATTAAGGTCGAAAGTAATCCACAAACAGTTCTTTCCCTGGAACTCTTGATACAACCTAAATATAGCAATCCTAGTAATACTTTACAATCAAACTTGTTTGTTGGCTGTTCAGATCTCCCACGTTTAAATTTGGAAGCAACACTAAACCTAGAACTAGAATCATTCGGATTTAGCCGTCTTGACAGACGTGCGGCTAAATCTGAATGCTTTTAGTTCTAGGTCTTGTGTTAGTTCTAGTGATATTGCTAATGCAAAACTAGAACTGGCACTAGACCGAGAACTAGAAACATTCGGATTTAGTCGCATGTCTGACAAGACGACTAAATACGAATGATTCTAGTTCTATTTTATGCTATCTAAAGCATAACTAGCTAAACCCGATACTTTCTAGTTCTAGGTCTAGTGTTAGTTCTAGCTTTAGTTCAATAGAAATATGCAACATAGTGATATTTTATGCTAACTAGCGCTACCTACCAGCCGTCTTAAGAGAGGATCGGCTAAACCCGAATGTTTCTAGTTCTAGTGTTAGTTATAGTTTTATAGTATCACTAGAACTAACACAAGACCTAGAACTAGAATCATTCCGGTTTAGCCGCACGTCTCTCAAGACGGCTAAACACGAATGATTCTAGTTCTTGTGTTAGTTTTAGTGATTGTGCTGATGCAAAACTAGAACTAACACTTGACCGAGAACTAGAAACATTCGGATTTAACCACACGTCTCTCAAGACGGCTAAACCCGAATGATTCTAGTTCTAGGTCTTGTGTTAGTTCTAGTGATAATGTAAAAATATAACTAATACTAGACCTAGAACTAAACACATTCAGGCTTAGCCGCACGTCTCTCAAGACGGCTAAACCCGAATGATTCTAGTTCAAGGTCTTGTGTTAGTTCTAGTGATAGTGCAAAACTCGAACTAACACTAGAAACATTCGGGTTTAACCGTGCGTCTAAAAACGGCTAAGCCCGACTGATTCTAGTTCTAGGTCACGTGTTAGTTCTACTGATAGTGTAAAAATATAACTAACACTAGACCTAGAACTAGAAACATTCAGGTTTAGCCGCACGTCTCTCTAGACGGCTCAACCCGAATGATTCTAGTTCTAGGTCTTGTGTTAGTTCTAGTGATAATGTAAACATATAACTAACAATAGACCTAGAACTAGAAACATTGAGGTTTAGCCGCACGTCTCTCAAGACGGCTAAACCCGAATGATTCTAATTCTAGGTCTTGTGTTAGTTCTAGTGATAGTGCAAAACTAGAACTAACACTAGACTGAGAACTAGAAACATTCGGATTTAGCCGCACGTCTCTCAAGACGGCTAAACCCGAATGATTCTAGTTCTAGGTCTTGTGTTAGTTCTAGTGATAATGTAAAAATATAACTAACAATAGATCTAGAACTAGAAACATTCAGGTTTAGCCGCACGTCTCTTAAGACGGCTAAACCCGAATGATTCTAGTTCAAGGTCTTGTGTTAGTTCTAGTGATAGTGCAAAACTAGAACTAACACTAGAACTAGAAACATTCGGGTTTAGCCGTGCGTCTAAAGACGGCTAAGCCCGACTGCTTCTAGTTCTAGGTCACGTGTTAGTTTTAGTGATAGTGTAAAAATATAACTAACACTAGACCTAGAACTAGAAACATTCAGGTTTAGCCGCACGTCTCTCAAGACGGCTAAACCCGATTGATTCTAGTTCAAGGTCTTGTGATAGTTCTAGTGATTGTGCAAAACTAGAACTAACACTAGACCGAGAACTAGAAATAATCGGATTTAGCCGCACGTCTCTCAAGACGGCTAAACCCAAATGATTCTAGTTCTAGGTCTTGTGATAGTTCTAGTGATATTGCTAGTGTAAAACTAGAACTAACACTAGATCTAGAAAGTATCTAGAATGTTTTTAGTTCTAGTTTTAATTGTTATGCAGCACTAGACCAAGAACTGGAATCATTCGGGTTTAGCCGTCTTAAGAGACGTACGTACTGCAACATCCAAATGTTTCTAGTTCTAGGATTAGTCCTAGTAACAGTGCACGTGTAAAACTAGAATCGTTCGGGTTGGTTCTTTTAATCTATATCTAGAATCACCTCATTTACAAATAACTGCCAATAAACTGAAAAATGATTAAGTATATTACTGAATCTTGTACGTATATTCATTCTTTTTATTAAAATTGTCTTTTCTGATAAGCACAAGACCTTCTAATTTACTAGTAACCACAAATTCGCTTCTAGGCATTCCTAGAATCACCATAATGTTCGCGTTCAGAGCTATTTAGCTCTTAATTCACTATAACTAAAATAAATTAAATCGCTGTATTAACTTTTATGTATTGTTACGTTATTTCTATTAGTTATAATTGAATTAATATTTGTTTCCTTGCAACGCCTTGTCATAAATACAAGTAATTTTAAAGTTTCAATTAATTTATTAGAGAGCTAATTTTATATGAAAATTTTCCCCACCACTAATACTTAGGAACTTGTTTAATTGGTAAATAAAAGAATTAAACTTGAAATAACCGTGCCTAATAATACAATTTCTAATTTATATTTTTTTAAAATATATATATTCCTCTTGTAAAAATTACTACTTATATAATTGTATACATTTGATGAAATAAAACAGCATATATAGTTTAATATTGTTTTATTATGTGAACTTAGAATTTTGCGAACATTAATAACCAAGTTATATCAAAACTCGACTTGTTCGAATATGAAAACGTAGCAACAAAATACAAAGATTTATTGAGCAAAGTATAATCAGACCTAAAAATGCTTTAATGTGCAAAAAAAATATGAACAACACTTTTTTAACGGATACATTCTTACTCTTAACTCGCCAACGACATAAATGCATTTCTTTATTCATTATAAATTACAATCAGTGCTTTTCCTTTATACTATAATTTCTTAACAATAACGTGTAAACAGACGGAACAAAACAAATTTAAATTAAGAAATATGCACAGTAAAACACGTTCAGTTTTGATTTGGTTTAATGCGTTAACATTCTAAAGAATTTGCAAACTGTACAAAAATATGAAACAAGATAATAATTAAAAAAAAAAGTTAGTATTATTCGAATATGGGTTCGCTTAATTTTCTTCGACTTCACCTTCTTGTTCTTCTTCAAATTCAACGTCATCGTCGGCAGTTGCGTCTTGGTATTGTTGATATTCGGAGACTAAATCGTTCATGTTCGATTCGGCTTCGGTAAATTCCATTTCATCCATACCTTCGCCAGTGTACCAATGCAAGAAAGCCTTTCTACGGAACATAGCAGTAAATTGTTCGGATATGCGTTTAAATAATTCTTGAATAGCTGTTGAATTTCCAATAAATGTTGCGGACATTTTTAACCCTCTGGGTGGAATATCGCAAACAGCGGTTTTAACGTTATTTGGAATCCATTCAACGAAATAGCTGCTATTCTTATTTTGGATGTTAAGCATTTGTTCATCCACTTCTTTCATAGACATTCTACCTCTGAAAATAGAAGCTACCGTTAAATATCTTCCATGCCTTGGATCGCAAGCGGCCATCATGTTTTTGGCATCAAACATTTGTTGAGTAAGTTCTGGTACGGTTAAAGCTCTGTATTGTTGACTTCCTCTAGAGGTTAACGGAGCAAATCCGGTCATGAAGAAGTGAAGACGTGGGAATGGAACCATATTTACAGCAAGTTTTCTTAAATCTGCATTTAATTGACCAGGGAAACGAAGACAAGTGGTGACTCCAGACATAGTGAGCGATACCAAATGGTTCAAATCGCCGTAAGTTGGTGTTTGTAATTTTAACGTTCTGAAGCAGATATCATATAAAGCTTCATTATCAATACAGAAAGTTTCATCTGTGTTTTCAACCAATTGATGAATAGAAAGAGTAGCGTTATAAGGTTCAACAACTGTATCTGATACTTTTGGCGATGGAACAACAGAATAAGAATTCATAATTCTATCTGGATATTCTTCCCTAATTTTTGAAATAAGTAACGTTCCCATTCCAGATCCAGTACCACCACCCAAAGAATGTGTCAATTGGAATCCTTGGAGGCAATCGCACGATTCGGCTTCTTTACGGATAACATCCAAAACAGAATCAACTAATTCCGCCCCTTCGGTATAATGACCTTTAGCCCAGTTATTACCAGCTCCCGATTGTCCAAAGACAAAGTTATCTGGGCGGAAAAGCTGACCGTACGGACCGGATCTTACAGAGTCCATTGTACCTGGTTCTAAATCAACCAGAACGGCTCGTGGAACGTAATTTCCTCCTGACGCTTCATTGTAATACACGTTTATTCTTTCTAATTGGAGTTCAGAATCTCCGTGGTAAGCTCCCGTTGGGTCAATTCCATGTTCATCAGAAATTATTTCCCAAAACTATAAAAATATATAAAATTAATTGAATTTAAAACTTAATTGAATTTAAAAAATATATGACCGCCATCTATCAATAATTTATTAAGGCATTTAATAATAATATTAAATATTAATAAAAAATATGAATTAATGCAATCTATTCCAACTTTTGTGTAAAACAAATATAAATTAAATAGTTCAACAAATTTAATGTATTTGATTCAAATGTCACAAATATGTTTTTTCAATTTTTAGTTATAATTTACAGGAAACTGTAAATTTAATTTTTTAACAACACTATAAAAAAGTTTATTTTTAGCTTTATTCTAAAACAATAAGAAATAAACCTGTTAAACCCTATATTTTTGTAATCAGAAAAAATAACGAATTTAATAAGTGGTTGTTTCCAATTAAAAAAACGAAAATTGTCATAAAATCTCAAAATCTAAAACCGAAAAAATTTTTTTGGCTACTATTCGCTTATTAAATTCTTTATTTTTTTCTGATTACAAAAATATGGGGTTAGATAGGTCTATTTCTTATTGTTTTAGAATAAAGCTAAAAATAAATTTTTTTTTAGTGCCGTCAAAGAAATTAAATTTACAGTTTCCTGTAAATTACGGGATGGTATTTAAATTACGGGGTATTATTTTTCTGGTATTTAAAAACAAATAATTATGTTTATTACACCAACGGTTAATACGGAAATATTTAATGGATTGCATTGTTTTGGATTGGAGAAATGTAAGCTCCCGTTGGGTCAATTCCATGTTCATCAGAAATTATTTCCCAAAACTATAAAAATATATAAAAGATAATTTAATGACTTATAGAAAAAAAATTAAATGTTAATGGTTTTTATGTAGAATATTGTCCTTGATGAGGCAATAAACCTAACGGAAAACCAAACCACATGTACAACTGATATAATAATTCCTAAAAATAAACCTGACGTTAGCGTGCATAAATTTGATAAATACCGATAATTAAATAAAAAAGTAGGACATTTTAAGGCAAAAATATGTTAGTACGGTAAAACCTCGATATAACGGATTAATACGAGAAAGAAAATGTTCGTTATAGCCAAAAGTTCGTTATACAGTGTGTCCCAGAATAGATGTTACAAGAGGTACAATGACTTAAAAATTTTTTAATTTTATTTTAAGTCTAAGGAATTAAGCACTGCTTGGTATGGAGAGAATTTTAAGTAATATATAATTAATTATAATTCCTTAGCATTATAATACATTTCAAAAATTTTTATGTCATTATACCTAATATATTCTTGTAACATCTATCCTGGGACACACTGTATATGAAATTTTTTTAATTTGTACTTTAAACTGTTTGAATGAATAATTTTAATGACACAAAAATTCGGACAACTATCTACACATTTGCGTTCCCTCTACGTGACTTTATATTTATACCAACGATGATAGAATCTAAAAGAACTACTGCATCTCAGAAACAGGTGCACACCTCGACGGAATAACAACTAAAACTAGAGTTAACACTGACATTAGAACTAACACTCAACCTAGAACTAGAATCATTCGGGTTTAGCCGTCTTGAGAGACGTGCGGCTAAACCCGAATGTTTCTAGTTCTCGGTCTAGTGTTAGTTCGAGTTTTGCACTAGCATTATCACTAGAACTAACACAAGACCTAGACTAGAATCATTCGGGTTAGCCCTCTTGAGAGACGTGCGGCTAAACCCGAATGTTTCTAGTTTCAGGTCTAGTGTTAGTTCTAGTGCTACTACTAGTTCTGGTTTCAGTTGATTAATAAGACCAAAAATATCAAAATCATTGTGAAGGTTGGAATTTTGAAGATTTATCTTTAACAATAATCTATCCTGTTGAGCTATTCTTAACGTGTTTAAACTTGACCGTTCACCATTTTTCAAGACTAAGCTCGGATGTTTACCACCTAATTTGAAATGGCAGTTTATAGATATTCGAGATTTTCATAGACTTTATGACTATTTCCAAGTATTTCCAGAAGAAATGGTAAGATTTTCTCAGATATTTCTGCAGATATCCAGATTTTTAGATGATTTTCATTTGACTTCCAAATATGCATAAGTTTTGTAACAATTTCGAAGTACTTTCCAAGTATAGCCAAAATTACTAAAAACACATCCATGTATTTTCCAAGTCATTACAAAAGATTTTTTTTAAATTACCAAATAAATTTAGAGACTACAATCAGAAGTTTCTAGCAACTTTAAGGGCCATTACAACCTTTTCAGAGTTAGCTAAGTAATTAGATTTTCAAGCATATATCAAAAAAAATCCAAGGATGTCCAAAAAATTCGAAGGGTTTCCCAAGGATAACTCTAGATTGCTTAGTGATTAATATTACATCAAGCAGATCTGGTCAACAAAGCAAGTATCATGTATCTTTTGACTAATTATCATATGTACTTCAAGTTTTGATCATTTAGCATAACATAGACCTACACAGCTAATTATTTATTTATTTATTCATACATGGAGGTAGTGACAGGACAAGTTCCATTAGGAGCTACCTCACAACTATACTACACATATGTAACTTAACAAAAGATACTACGTCACGACGAAAATTAATCCTATCTAGGTACAAAATTGAGTTTGGCGCTTCGAATAACACGTCTAAAATTGTTTGGCATGAGGGAAAGTATATCCAACTTAAGGCGATCTACTGCTCTTTCCATCCGTACGGTTGGAGAATTCTTATAAGAACTGGTTCGAGCTGTTGGTACGTAAAATAAGAAATCATATCGTAACCGACGAGGTGGAACATGCAAGTCAATTCTTGAGAGAAGATATCGCAATAACCATTGACCAACCTGTACAGGACGCGATCATCACTACAATATCTACGCTGCTGAAGCGTGGGCATATCATAGATTTGGCAGGCAGACAAATAATCTGTATAGGGATGCTGGAATTGATAGGAAAGGTATTTCAGAAACCTAAAGTGAACTCTCTCCATTCTATTAACATAAATACTATAGTGAGGATTCCAAAACGGTGCAGTTTCCTGTAAATTATGCTCAAAATTAAAAAAACGTTTCTCCAATCCAAAACAATGCAATCCATTAAATATTTCCGAAATATACCAGAAAAATAATACCCTGTAATTTAAGTACCGCCCCATAATTTACAGGAAACTGTAAATTTCATTACTTCGACGACACTAGATTTCGGCGCGGCGTTTAAAAATTTTATAAAAAAAGTTTATTTTTAGATTTATTCTAAAACAATAAGAAATAAAGCTGTCGAACCCTTTGATTATATGTAATATGGATTGAGCTAACTGAATATATCTATTAACAAAAATGTGGCTCAAGACGCAGATGGAAAGCGATAATGTGACAGTGTAACAAAGATAGACATAAAACGGTACTAAACAGACGGGCGCATGCGCACAAAAGTGTCAAACCTCTTCCGTTTGACGTTTATCGTTTTGTTGCGTCACAGTCAGTCACACCGTTATGTTTAAAAATGTATTGTTAATGTTTATAAATTATGGTACTTATATTTTTCTTCATTTATTTCCTAATTTAAACCAAATCAACAATTTACCGCCTATATGGGAACTGCGTAGCCTTTGTGCGTAGCAAAGTCTAACGGACTATAGTCATTAATTTTGTTTTAAATTTACCGCCAAAATTAACGCACGCCCATTATATGTCAGTACG